AATATTATTGAATAATTAAGTTGTTGAATATATGCTGCATTGGTAGTGAAAGAACAGAAGTATGTTTGCCCACAAGGCTGAGAGGACGCGAACATTAGCAGCACCTCCAGCGGTTAAAACAATACAGTCTGACCCAAATGTTTAATGTCACTATTGTTACAATATATATGCATTAGTTTATATACAATTGGTCATCTAGCCCACGAGATGCACCGCTGCTGTGTTATGCATTCAGAATATTAGAGAAATATAGAAGCTCAATGTGGAGAAGATCTTGAATGGGTTAAAACCGAAACCAAGCCATTCACACACAGAACGCATATTCAGCTAATTTTTTAGACGGACAAATATGACTGCTGCACTCGCGTCTCACACAAGAGATGTAGCCATGCAAAGTTAAAACAGTTTAAACTTTTAGAAAACACGTCACGAATTTGTGGAGGTTTATTCATTTTCACTGCGTCTCATATGTTTTTAAATGCAGTCTGTGTGAATGGCGCTTTGGCTCTTTGGATTAAGCAATGCATAAATACATGATGCTGTTTTGTTCATAATTGTTTATGCAATTTACAAAATTATATTTGATTTTTATGAGTTAATTTAGACCTAATGCATGTTTTTATAGAGTTACTTGCTTAAATGCACTGCATTATTTTGCTCATTGCGCCCTCTTGTGGCCTCGGGAGACAATTAGACCTATACAATAAATACCTATTTAATCTGCATATAAAACATTAGAAATTAGATATTTGTTTAATTTTTATTGTGTTTGGTTGTTAAAACAAAAAATATTTGTTGTTTTACTCAATAAATTGTGTTAATTATAAATACAGTGGTTAAATAAAAAAAAAATTCTATTGCTTTTTTTTTTTTTAAAAAGGTTATAAAAAAATGTCAATAATTATCGATACCGAACGATATGAAACATTATATCATTGATACATTTTGTAGCTATATCGCCCAGCCCTACGCTCCACTCACATAGTTTTCCATTAAATTATATTATATTTGTCCCAAATTGTTGTTCGTATGTATAATGACTTCACACTAGGCTGGAAGATTTTGTATTGTGCATTTTTCAGCTAAATGTTTGTCTAATAAAGTCAGTATGCTTCATATAGAGAGCTACAGTACAGATCGCGCTTCCTCTTTTCTTTTTGCTTCAACTTCAAACTCATCGACGCCACTTTGTTAATTCCTGTAGTGAACCTTTGCCTGTTTAGTGATTACATAAACTGTTCTGGACAGCCTCTTGAACTGAACACGATGCGTCCGTGAGAGTGTATACATAAAATATACAGTACATATGTATGTAATTTCAGTGATATAGCCTTTGTATAGATGTTTAAACATGGCCATTTTTAAGAATGACTGTTTGGATTTATATGAGATGATAACACTTTACAATTTGGAAGATTCCATTCGTAACATTAACTAAGGTTAATATAAGCTGTAGAAGTATTGTGGCTTGTTATAGTGTGTTAATTTCAATACCAATACATTCTTAAATGTCAAAGTTGCATCTGTTAACATTAGTTAATGAACTATGAACTAACATTAATGATCAATTTATAATTAAAATTTTTATTCTATTTAAAAAGCATGGTTCAGAACTTTTTTTGGAATAAACTTCAGCACTATTTAGTTTTCATTCAGTATCCATTTTAAAAACTATCAGTTGATTAATCGGTTATTGGCCAGTGTAGTCCAACCTAGCTATCGGTATCGGTAAAATCCACTATCGGTCGACCTATAATTTTAATACTTTGGCCCAAACAACAGCCTGGACGAGATGACTGTAGTTGCCAAAAGTTATAGCCAGTGTGCAGATTTTGAGCAGTCAAAGTGTAATCATTTATGTCGGCAAGTGTATGATGCCTAGTGTGTTCAGATTTAAAAGTCGTGGTGTACTCCAGCCTTTTCCCACCACTTGCACATTATTTCCTGTGGCAGCTATACAAACCCAAAGCATAGCTTAAACAGTTGTTATTTTCATCACATTGGTTCCCCTTTTTTTCTTTAACACACTTTTTGACTGCAGCCAATTAAATTCAAGAATCAAAAAGGTTCTGGGGTAGTGGATCAGTGGAAGAGTGTTTTTTTTTTTAAAATGAATTCATTTAATGAATCCATGCCATTTGTGAACTAACAGAGCACATTGTTGGGTCTGCAAATAAAAACTATACTCACATAACTGATTCTTCATACTGAGCAGCACAGAGTTCATTTGGGCTTTAGAGGCGTACAGCTTGTTGATAGCTTTCTTTGAGTGAATCATCTCTTTGGCGAGGATGATGCAGACATCTTTCTGTCCCTTCTTTGCAGCATCTTTGATCGATCTCTTCACCTTCTCCTCCTCTCTCTGAATATCTTTGGAAAAAATATACAATATACACAATTACAACTTCTGTGAAGTACAGTTACCTAAGTGAATTTCATTTAAAATTATTTACAATTATATTACATTATTACAACAGACTGCAATTTGTCAAAATAACAATTGCTGGTGTAATATGACCTCACCTCGAATCTGTCTGTCAATAACCCTCATTTCTTTTCTGATTTTGAGAGACCACTCATTGATCTATAGAAAAGAGTTGAAGACAGTTTGAGATCAGTTTGTGATTGAAATTGACCTACATACGTGTAAAGGCGATTTTATGATGTTGGTTCTCATAACAACCCACGTACAGACCACAGAATTAAACCAAACTTTTTAAAGTACCTCGTTTAAAATGGCATTACGTAATACATGTTACCAACAAGTAGGGCCTATGACAAGCGAGCTATTTATAGGCCTGCTATTATTTACAATGGAACATTTAATAAAAACCCTTAACTCCCGAGTCGATGTTTCACTTACAAGGTCCTTCGGTGGTTTCTCTTGCGTTTTTCCAAAAAGCCCCATTTTAAACTTGTAAATTAGATAGCTGAACAGCGACGAGCTCGATCAAAATAGTACATTAAAAGTCCACTTCCTGATTCCAGCCTCTCGACGGATGACAACATAGGGCATTTCCGGTTATGGTAAGTATAGTTTACTTTTCATAATAAAAGTACAGCTTGAACTGTATTTTCCGTTATTATTAACACATAATCTTTTTAATGTTTGTTATGTCGAAATAGACAGTGATTGACAGATAAATATTTTTTTTCATACGTATACAATTATATAAACACATAAAACATATTTGATTATTTATTTATGTACTTATTTATAAATAAAGCAGGCTAATAGGACAGTGATGTGAACAGTGAACATCAATTAGGAAGCTAAATACTTTTTAAGCTCATTTGTTTTTCATTGTACTTATTCACTGTGTTCTGTCTCATGTGTGTGGCTCATTCATTGGAAAAGGCAAAGTCCCTTTAAGGCTATTCTATAGTCTTTGGAAAAGGCTTTCGCAACTGTGCTGCTGAGCCATGTGCTGAACCAAAAGTGTGCAGAGCGCCCCCTTAATCGAGAGACCCTTTTGCTCTCACCAGGCTTTCAACATCTGAAATGATAATCTGATTCTTACAGGCAAGAATTGTGATGAGGCACAGCTAAACTGCAAAACAAACCAAAAAAATCCACTCCTGATAAGGATAAGCATATTTAATAAAACGTATTAACAAATTCATTTGACCCCGTAATGAAAAACAGTTCATAAAAATAATAAAATAAAAATTGATTAATAAACCCACAACGCCTTTCTTTAATATGAAAATAATAATCTCCCTTCAGTTATAATCAAATATTTTCGATCATAAAGTTGACAGTGTTAAATATATCATTTTATTTATTTATTTATTTTAATCACCAAATAATAAACCCATTTGGAAACGTCTTCCTTTAACATGAAAATAATAATCTCCCCTCAGTTAGAGTCAGATATTTTCGATTATAAAGATGGCGGTGTTAATAATGTCCTTTAATTATTGATATAATTGCTGTTTATTTATTTATCCAGTGATGGACCCCTGACTTTCTCATAGGTCGCTTAACTGCACGGTCATTCCCAGTGACGTAAAAACGCGAGTTTCTTTCGCCAGGTTCTAGATTTTTCGTCCTTATCTGGGATGCTGCGCCAATCGAACTGCTGGATAGCGTCCAGTAGCCAATCAGAACCAGCCGTGGGCGGGGCTTGGCTGAATTCCAGTCTCTTGACAAATGCGCAGGTTTACCCATATTGCCGGTTGACAATATCAGTGGAGGCTGCAAGAATGCAGTAGAAGCGTTCTCTGCTAGGATTAGGGAGGAAGAATTATCTATTATCGCCCCCTTAATCGAGAGACCCTTTTGCTCTCACCAGGCTTTCAACATCTGAAATGATAATCTGATTCTTACAGGCAAGAATTGTGATGAGGCACAGCTAAACTGCAAAACAAACCAAAAAAATCCACTCCTGATAAGGATAAGCATATTTAATAAAACGTATTAACAAATTCATTTGACCCCGTAATGAAAAACTTAATAATTAAAAATTAATAATAAAATAAAAATTGATTAATAAACCCACAACGCCTTTCTTTAATATGAAAATAATAATCTCCCTTCAGTTATAATCAAATATTTTCGATCATAAAGTTGACAGTGTTAAATATATCATTTTATTTATTTATTTATTTTAATCACCAAATAATAAACCCATTTGGAAACGTCTTCCTTTAACATGAAAATAATAATCTCCCCTCAGTTAGAGTCAGATATTTTCGATTATAAAGATGGCGGTGTTAATAATGTCCTTTAATTATTGATATAATTGCTGTTTATTTATTTATCCAGTGATGGACCCCTGACTTTCTCATAGGTCGCTTAACTGCACGGTCATTCCCAGTGACGTAAAAACGCGAGTTTCTTTCGCCAGGTTCTAGATTTTTCGTCCTTATCTGGGATGCTGCGCCAATCGAACTGCTGGATAGCGTCCAGTAGCCAATCAGAACCAGCCGTGGGCGGGGCTTGGCTGAATTCCAGTCTCTTGACAAATGCGCAGGTTTACCCATATTGCCGGTTGACAATATCAGTGGAGGGTGCAAGAATGCAGTAGAAGCGTTCTCTGCTAGGATTAGGGAGGAAGAATTATCTATTATCTATCTAAAGCCCGATTTACAATAATAGCGAGTAATACTTCTAGCTCGGTTACAAGCGCACTCAGCACATACTGTAGAATAGGGGTGTTGTGTTCTCACCCAGCTGCACTGTTAAAACTGGACCGGAGCTGTTAAGAATAAAGAAATAAGGACTGAACATGTCTGTGGTGGGAATTGATGTGGGTTTCCAGAACTGTTACATCGCTGTTGCCAGGAGCGGCGGCATTGAAACCATTGCAAATGAATACAGTGACAGATGCACTCCGTAAGTATAGCATTGCCATCCCTGTAAAATGATGCTGTGTGTTGTTACGCAACGTTTGCTGTTGCCTAGCTGGCCGTGTTCCCGACCCAGTGCATTTTCCTCCTGCGACTGTCAGTTTTGTCCGAAAGATGCTAAGCCCCTCGCGCATCTCCATTTTGCATGGATTTCATCAGTTTAACCGCTGCATGAGTCTTGTCAGTGTTTTCTACGCCCTGAAACGTGTCTGAGAGAAATGCTCTTTTGTGTCTTTATTTGTCCAATTGGCTTATTATCACGAGAACGCCGAGGCTGCATTTCTTAGTCATGTGAATAAAAGACATGCACGGCGTAATTCCCACCTGTCATCCACACGCTCAGTCGCTCGTGAAATGGATCAGAATGGCTGTTTGTGGCTTTTCGCAAGCGTTAGGCGAATTCAAAACTGCATGTCTTGCACGAGCATGGCACGTGAACGGTATAATCCGACACCCTGCATGCGCTGAGTCCACGAGACTGTGACCGCGGAGTCGTGTTCTCTATAGACAAACCCACGCTCTCTCGTTTTGGGCGCGGCGACACATGCAATCAAAATAAGATGCTGTAAAACTAGATATTTTTTTTGGAAAATTTTCATACGCGGGCTTTTGGACCATCGTCTTAAAAGGAAATCACAATTGAGGTGTTGTAGGAGGTCACTGCGGTGCTTACTCAAATCGAATTATGTTGTTAGCGCATCCTCAGTTTCTCCTGCAACACTAGTTACAGATCACACTGATTCTTGAAATATGGGACATACGACAATTAACCATGGTTTTACTACATATAAATCCAAACAAACATGGTTACTGTAGTTAAACCATGGTAACCACAAATTAACCATGGTTTTGCAACACTAACCATAGTTTAACCATGGTATTTGTTGTAAAACTGTGGTTATACAAATGGTAATCAATACGCCAAAAAACCATGGTTACTACACCTTTACTATAATAAAACCATGGTTAATGTTCGTAAGGTATGTCCCATTTGAGATGATGACTAGAATGTTCTTTACACAAATGTAGCTTTCATTTGATTTTCTTTTCATTTGATTAAAATTATGACATTATATGACAAAAAACATCAGTCTTCACACCGTAACTCAATACTTCATGTTGATTAATATATATATACAGCATATATATGCATAATAAAAATATAAAAAAAAATGTTTCTACATCCTGACGGAAGGAAGAGATAAAGTTTTACAGCTGTGTTCCTATTTTTTGTCAGCAACATCAACAAATCAGGCAATATCAATGCTATTTTCTTTCATTTTACGTGGTTTTATCCAAAGCGACTTATATTGCATTCAAAGTACAGATTTCCAAAGCTGCATGTCTTTCTTCTGTGGAACACACAAGACATTTTGAAGAACGATGGTATGGTAACCATGTTGGTTTTGGTCACCATTGACTTCCATTTTGAAACATTTCTCAAATGATCTTTTATGTTCCACAGAAGAAAGTAAGTCATACAGTTTTGAAAAGATGAGGATGATTAAACGGTGACAGAATTTTGGGGTGAATTATCATTTAAGGTCTTCTTTATGTATTTTACCTGTTATGAGTTCAGCAAGCTCACAATTGTAAAGGAATTGTTTTTGCATTGATTGCTACTATAGAAAACACAGATTTTGTGAAAAAATAGAAGAAGCACGAGGTTGCACCTAAACATTGTTTGAACATGTTGAATAGATTAATCCAAACAAGTTTGATTTTTTTCAGTTTGAAGCCTGTTTAATTCCACTAATAATTTCCACTATTATAATTCTAGTGGTTCTGAAATGCAGAAACCTTGCTGCCTCTTATAAGAAATCATATTAAAGACCTCCAGCTTCTAGCAGTCTTGATATACCTTTTCAAATCTCAAAAGCTTATTTCACACCATAACATGGTTTGCGACTCAGGAAGACTTGTGATAAGTACTAGTGAATACGCTGTCCAAGGTGCTGATCCACACCCTGCTCATCCAGGTTCTAGAATGCATCAGATTGGAAATAAAATATGGAGGGTGTTGTCACAATGTATGATACATTTATGTCATCTTTTCCAACAGAGCATGCATTTCTCTGGCCTCTAAAAACCGGACCATTGGAAATGCTGCTAAAAGTCAGGTACGAAATGCTGTTCATTTCATGCTTTCTAATTTATTAAACCTTTACAATATTTGCTAATCATAAAATTAGGTGGGATATTAACCAATAAACATGCCTCCTACAGATCATAACTAACTTTAAGAACACGGTTCACGGCTTTAAGAAGTTTCACGGTCGAGCGGTTGATGACCAATTTGTTCAAGGGGAAAAATCCAAGTTGCCTTACAACCTTCACAAACTGGACAATGGCAGCACTGGAATAAAGGTGCTATAATGTGTTTTGCCACCACTTTGAAAACTATTTTGCTATTGTAGACCCCTGTCCCAAAAATCATGTTTTGGACAAAAAAAAAAAAAATGCAAAAAATGCATAGACAAAACATGTGCATTTTAATTCTTCCAGGAAAACAGTGTTTTCAAGAATATTGCAAAAAGCAATAGTGTGAAAGTTCTAGAATGTTAAACATGCTAGAGATTATCTTACACACACATTGCATTGTCATAGGTACGTTATCTGAATGAGGACAAGGTGTTTACCATCGAGCAGATGACTGCCATGTTGCTCACCAAGCTGAAAGAAACGTCTGAGCATGCCTTGAAGAAGCCTGTGGTGGACTGTGTGATATCTGTGAGTGCTTCTAAATCATTGAACCTAGCGTATTTCTGCTAGTGCTCTTGACATGCCTGTCATCTCTTTGACATGTTTGGGTTTTCTCTAGGTCCCCAGCTTCTTTACGGATGTAGAAAGGAGATCCCTGATGGACGCAACTCAGATTGCTGGGCTGAACTGCTTGAGGCTGATTAATGACACAACAGCAGGTCAGCAAAATTAAGCTGTTGATTTTTTTGGTAACACTTTAGAATAGGGAACACTTATTCACTATTAATTGTCAGCAACATCAACAAATCAGGCAATATCAATGCTATTTTCTTTCATTTTACGTGGTTTTATCCAAAGCGACTTATATTGCATTCAAAGTACAGATTTCCAAAGCTGCATGTCTTTCTTCTGTGGAACACACAAGACATTTTGAAGAACGATGGTATGGTAACCATGTTGGTTTTGGTCACCATTGACTTCCATTTTGAAACATTTCTCAAATGATCTTTTATGTTCCACAGAAGAAAGTAAGTCATACAGTTTTGAAAAGATGAGGATGATTAAACGGTGACAGAATTTTGGGGTGAATTATCATTTAAGGTCTTCTTTATGTATTTTACCTGTTATGAGTTCAGCAAGCTCACAATTGTAAAGGAATTGTTTTTGCATTGATTGCTACTATAGAAAACACAGATTTTGTGAAAAAATAGAAGAAGCACGAGGTTGCACCTAAACATTGTTTGAACATGTTGAATAGATTAATCCAAACAAGTTTGATTTTTTTCAGTTTGAAGCCTGTTTAATTCCACTAATAATTTCCACTATTATAATTCTAGTGGTTCTGAAATGCAGAAACCTTGCTGCCTCTTATAAGAAATCATATTAAAGACCTCCAGCTTCTAGCAGTCTTGATATACCTTTTCAAATCTCAAAAGCTTATTTCACACCATAACATGGTTTGCGACTCAGGAAGACTTGTGATAAGTACTAGTGAATACGCTGTCCAAGGTGCTGATCCACACCCTGCTCATCCAGGTTCTAGAATGCATCAGATTGGAAATAAAATATGGAGGGTGTTGTCACAATGTATGATACATTTATGTCATCTTTTCCAACAGAGCATGCATTTCTCTGGCCTCTAAAAACCGGACCATTGGAAATGCTGCTAAAAGTCAGGTACGAAATGCTGTTCATTTCATGCTTTCTAATTTATTAAACCTTTACAATATTTGCTAATCATAAAATTAGGTGGGATATTAACCAATAAACATGCCTCCTACAGATCATAACTAACTTTAAGAACACGGTTCACGGCTTTAAGAAGTTTCACGGTCGAGCGGTTGATGACCAATTTGTTCAAGGGGAAAAATCCAAGTTGCCTTACAACCTTCACAAACTGGACAATGGCAGCACTGGAATAAAGGTGCTATAATGTGTTTTGCCACCACTTTGAAAACTATTTTGCTATTGTAGACCACTGTCCCAAAAATCATGTTTTGGACAAAAAAAAAAAAAAATGCAAAAAATGCATAGACAAAACATGTGCATTTTAATTCTTCCAGGAAAACAGTGTTTTCAAGAATATTGCAAAAAGCAATAGTGTGAAAGTTCTAGAATGTTAAACATGCTAGAGATTATCTTACACACACATTGCATTGTCATAGGTACGTTATCTGAATGAGGACAAGGTGTTTACCATCGAGCAGATGACTGCCATGTTGCTCACCAAGCTGAAAGAAACGTCTGAGCATGCCTTGAAGAAGCCTGTGGTGGACTGTGTGATATCTGTGAGTGCTTCTAAATCATTGAACCTAGCGTATTTCTGCTAGTGCTCTTGACATGCCTGTCATCTCTTTGACATGTTTGGGTTTTCTCTAGGTCCCCAGCTTCTTTACGGATGTAGAAAGGAGATCCCTGATGGACGCAACTCAGATTGCTGGGCTGAACTGCTTGAGGCTGATTAATGACACAACAGCAGGTCAGCAAAATTAAGCTGTTGATTTTTTTGGTAACACTTTAGAATAGGGAACACTTATTCACTATTAACTACGACTTTTCCCTCAATAAATTCCTAATTTGCTGCTTATTAATAGTTAGAAAGGTAGTTGTTAAGTTTAGGTATTGGGTAGGATTAGGGATGTAGAATAAGGCATTTATGTGCTTAATTAGTAGCTTAATTCTAGTAATATGCATGCTAATAAGCAACTAGTTAAGAGACCCTAAAATAAAGTGTTACCAATTTTTTTTAAATGTTGTCATTATCTAACTAAACAGAAAATGGTTACCTAAAAATGGTAGCATCTAAATTAATTGGTTTTATTTAAGTCAAAAATACATTGATTTATACCAACAAAACTAATGTTTACGCATTAAATCAGGTAGAAATAGCTCTTTAAAGGGATAATTCACCCAAACATGAAAATTTGATGTTAATTTACATGTAGGTAACCTTTTTCTTCAGTAGAACAGTAAAGAAGATTTTTATCTGAAACCATGGTCCTTGGTGATTCTTAAATGCAAGTCAACGGCTACCATCCCTTGAGAGTAAAAAATTAAATCATGTATAGGCAACACCGTGGCTTGTGACGATATATTGAGGTCTCATGATGAAGCAAAACGATCAGTCTGTTCAAGAAACAGAACATTATTTACAACATAACTACCTGAAATCCATAGCCTCAGATGTACAGTTTGTGAACAGTTGGTTCTTTTTAGTGAACTTGATAACCCAGTTCACTAAATCGGACTAAACCATCTGAAACAGTTTGCGGCTCAAGCAGCACAGATCTACAAGTTACTCAATCAAAACTCACTTTCAGACGTTTTCCGACCATCACGGTGACTCAAAATGAGCCGAGATACTGACATAATATGATCGTATGATGCTGATTTTTGCCAACTCATTCAGAGCTTCAGTTCCTCCAACAAGAACTGAATTGAGGAAACAGTTCAGACTTGGGCCAAAGACAAGCTACTGATACAAGCATGTGTGAACTGAGAACTTGAATGAAGGGCCGAAATGAAACTTTCATGGTTTCTTGTGGTTTATGTAAAAAGGTGAACTGAGGGTGAGTAAATTAAAGGTGGGGTAAGCGATTTCTGGTAGCCAATGTTATCATTTGAAATCACCAAAACAAACACGCCCCTACCCCAAAAGGGTCTCGCCCCTATTTTGATAGCTCTGCCCCACACATACGTACGCAACCCAGGCAACTATTAGTTCTGTGAAACAAAGCAAAACCAATGTTACACCGTGTCTACACCGGACGCGAGTGGCGCGGGATGCGGCGCGGCACGACACGACAAATCCCCAACAGAAAACTGCTGCTGCATTCTATTTATGATGTATTGACACAAATTTCAAATGATTTTCAACGGTCGCTTTGTCGCGTCCAGTGTACTAGACAGACTTTAGCTGTTGCGGCGCAGACACAGTGTTACTCACCTATCGAGAAGAAACAAAGCAACCTCGGCGTCCGATTGCAGGCCTTCCGCTCCTTGAGTTCTCTCCAGTGCTGGAAAGCTGATCCGATATTTACACGGGTCCTACTTCTTGCCTTAAGCCTTCTTTTGTTCCGCAGACGTTTTCCTCTTTTGTTTTTTATCCGCCATCTCTATCTTTCTGTCGCTCGGCTTGGCTAATGTCCGTCCTGTGCACTGAACGCTCTCTCCTCCACATCATGAGTAGACACGCCCCTTACAGCTGATTGGCTACAAGTTTGTTTTGCTAGTCGGCTTGAATCAGTTTTCTAAAGCGTTTTTGAAAAATCGCTTACCCCACCTTTAACAGCAAATTTTCATTTTTGAGTGAACTGTCCTTTTAAGGTAGCAATTGCGAGGTATCACTTTTAACAGTGTGCATGTTGTTGAAAAAGAAACTACACAAAACCAATTTTTAACTGAATAAAACAGGCTGCATGACTATTATGTAGATTTACTGTGAAGGGTGATTTGCATATTGTACATGTGTTAGGGACTTCAACATTTCTTAAAGACTGAATAAAATGAATACACATTATAAATAATATGAATACATTCTCTCTCATTATTGCTGTCATGACTAATGTAATTACCCCTTCTAAGGTTGCTGATCTAGATGAAAATGTGAGGGTGTTGCGGAAGCAAATTTAATGTGTGATGATTGACAAAAACATGATTCATGAATCATTAATTTCTTGTGTAATGATGTTTTCTTATTTTCAACATGATGTTTGTCATTTTCAACATCTTCAACAGAGTAACTGTTTGCAGTAGTGTTAATTTTGTCAGCTATTTTTTTATTTAGTCTTAGTCTTAGTCCTGTCACTGTGTCAAATGTAACTTTTAGTTTTTATCATATTTAGTCAACTTGTCCTGTTTTAGTTTTAGTTGACTTACTGTATAATGGTTAAAATGATAAAAAAATTACTATTTTGTTCAATTTTAATTGCAGTGATTGTTGTCATTTGGGAAATTTATTTTTACATTTCATCAGAAGTTGCTCTTTCACCAATAAACACAAATCAATAGAATATTGACTCATTTGCATGGTTTATTTGACCTCACCTAGTGTACAGATTTATAACAGGATATCAATTAGAGGCTAGATATATTTAAATGCTCGTAATAACTCATTAGTCTATTACCTGAAACCAGTTAAAGTAAGTAAGGAATAATGTACAATCAGCCAGTTATTATCATAAAAAGGCAAAAAATGATCATAAAAAGTAAAAAATAGATATTGTGGCCACAAATTAAGAATCTGTTAATTGGTGAACATGTTTTATTAATTCACTCGTTTAGTTCAATTTAACCAAAAGCCATTTAACCATAAAAGGGAACAAATTAAAACAAATTGACCAGTTGTTATTTTGTTCCCTTGTATTAGTAAAATCATTGTATCAGTTAAATCATGTTGTGCTAATTTGTTCCCTCATTTTAATTTAGTTAAATCGTGGTGACGTACTAATTTATTTGTGATAATGACCATGTGAAGTTCTTTTATTTAGGTTCCATTTATGTTAACATTAAAATAGATGTATAGAATTTTTGTAATGTTAACTGGATAATTATTTAATTGGATTGGACTTTTAGGAGTACTCTTATCTCTGTCTATTATTACAGTCCACGAGGCCTTTTCACAAGTTATTTGTTGTTATTCTTGTTGCAGTGGCCTTGGCCTATGGCATCTATAAACAGGACTTGCCAAACCCAGAGGAGAAACCCCGTAATGTTGTGTTTGTTGACATTGGGCACTCATCTTATCAAGTCTCCATTGCTTCCTTTAACAAGGGGAAATTGAAGGTCTGTGTTATTTCTATATTTTTATGGGAAATGTTTACTTCGGAATATTATGTTTAATCTTTCACAAAGCTGTTATCAAAGGTATTATCAAACTCTTCTTTGTTTCAGGTGTTGGCTACAGCATTTGACCCATATTTGGGCGGACGCAACTTTGATGAGTTGCTTGTGGAATATTTCTGCGGAGACTTCAAAAACCGTTTCAAACTCAATGTTAAAGACAACCCAAGAGCCCTTCTAAGGCTCTATCAGGAGTGTGAGAAACTGAAGAAACTCATGAGTGCAAACTCTTCTGATCTCCCTCTCAACATTGAGTGCTTCATGAATGACATCGATGTCCATGGGAAAATGAACAGGTAATCCAATTATTTTTTAAAAGTTCTGCTCCAAAATTAGCATAGTGTTTAGACTTACCTCAACCTTCATGTAACCTCTTTCATAAATAACAGAGTTGTTATTGACTGTTGTATGTGTATTGTGAAATTAAATCAATGCAAATGAAGCATTTCATGCTTAATAGAAAGTAGTTGGATTGAAGGTTTGAGCAGAAACATGCCATTGTGATTGGACACAGGGTGCAGTTTGAAGAGATGTGTGCTCAGCTCTTGATGAGAGTGGAGGCGCCACTGAAATCGGTCATGGAACAATCAAGTAAGCAGCAGTCGATGGCCCAGTTCACAAAAAAAAAAAATCAATCACAACAGATGTAAAATTTAAATCCATTGCTAATTTGCATTCGTCCTGGTACAGAGCTTAGCAGAGATGAGATCTATGCCATTGAGGTGGTGGGCGGAGCCACCAGAATCCCGGCCATAAAGGAGAGAATCTCAAAGTTCTTTGGTAAAGACATCAGCACCACGCTGAACGCAGATGAGGCTGTAGCACGTGGATGTGCGTTACAGGTAAAATAGACTCTTAAAGACATAAAATTCATAAAGCCTTATTTAAAAAAGACCATAATCTGAACAAATCTGTCTACAGCACTTAAAATGGCCTTGATAACAGGCATTATAGATGTCAGCACAGAAACAGCAGAAGTGTGAGCAGTGTGAGAGTGTGATACAGAACAGTTGAACAATACTTGTGCCAGTTCCCTGGGGAGTTTGTGGATTCTGTGGGAGAGGTGTAGAAACAAGATGAAATCTGTGTGATGCATGCAATGCTGTCTCTGATTCCTTGTACTAATACCCTATTTAGACAGCTTATGTAACTACATTTGCTTGTATATCATAAATGTTTATTTTTTGTGTGTATGTGTGTGTGTGTGTGTGTGTGTGTGGTAAGTGTGCAATCCTGTCTCCAGCCTTCAAAGTCCGAGAGTTCTCCATCACAGACGCAGTCCCCTTCCCGATTACTCTGCGCTGGAAGTCTCAGACAGATGAAAGTGTCGGGTAAGAGCCTTCACATTTAAACTTTTAGCCTGTTTGAAGCAAGTGCAGATATCTGAAATAATTATATTGTGTCCCAAGTATTCTCATTACCAAGTGATTATTTATTTGTAGTGCTAACTATGCAAAGCATCACTATTTAACATGCTTGAAGTTAGGATTTGAACAAACCACCAACCTCAAGAATCAGCAAATAACTCGTTCCAGTGAATGATGCCTCCAATCATGCAGTTTATTGTGGAGAGGTGTGAGATTACATTTCTTGGCAATCACAATTTGATTTGCACCTGGTGGGCCATAAAAAGACTTGCATGGCAGAAGGGACCCAAGCCATCTAGGCATGAGAAAATAATAAAGACCAACAGGCTAGCACCTAGCAACCAACCATATCATCCTAACAAATGCATAGTAATGTGCTAAAAACCACTGGAAAGACCTTAGCAGCTACATATAGTAGCAACGACACAATTCAGCATTGTGGCAGCATCACTTACATTTTATTCAGAAAATGAAAAAATCAAGTATATTTATTTACATAGTTGGAGTAATTTATGTATTTTATATTATCTTTATATAAATCTTAACAATAAATGTATCCATCTATTAACTTATTTTTAATAGCACATGCTCATTTTTCAAATGTAAATATGTGAGATGTGTTATTGACAGGAACTAGTGTCCAATAAGTCTACAAATATGCTAGCTTATAAAGATAAAATGTTTTGCATTCATTTTTATTATATGTAGCCACGCTGGAAAAAAATAGTAACCTAAAAATTTAAGTCAAAAATATTTTTAGCATCACTGAATAAATACATTAATTTATACCATCAAAATACATTTTCATAGGTTAAAGGTGCTGTATGTAGGATTTACACCGAGTGGTTGAACTAGGTATTGCAGTCCAAATTCAAAATATTGGAGAGGGTTTTTTTCACCCGGCCCCTCCTCCTCAGACTTGAGGCACACGCAGGTTGCCAGATTGACGACACCAAAAGGAACGAGCGCACTTGACGATGAATGAAATTAAATACGCTGTGTTTTCCACCAATTGGCAACCCGAGGTGACGAAATACAATTGGGTAAACTGGCAGTGGGCGGGATTCACAAACCAAAACAGAGACGACATTCCGGCCCGGAACGCACATTTTCAAAGGAGAATAACTGACTGTAGCATTGTTTTTCAGATAAACAAGTATGTTAACTTTTAAATATCTTCAATAATTAAGTTTCTTAAATATCTGCAAACATATTATGGTATTTTTATGCTTTAGTAGAGTCAAAAACTTACATACAGCACCTTTAAATCAGCCAGAAATAACTCTTTAAGGTGACAATTGCAGGTTGCCTCTTTGTACAGTGTAGTATTATAATTAGTGGTCGACCGATATATCGCCAAGGCCGATATATCGGCTGATATTTGGCATTTTTTTAAATATCGGCATCGGCCGATACGTTTTCCTGTTTGGCCGATGCGTTCGAAGCGGGACTTTTATTTTGACGGCGCTGAGAACGGCAGCGCCTGAGCACACAGTGCTTACATTCTCCCTCTTGTTCGCTGTTGTCCTTCAGTTCTGTCTAATATGGATTATCTAATACGTCTGTCTAATAATCAGATAGAACAGTTAAACAAAGGAATTAAAATGTATACAAAAAGT